GACCTATTTCGATTTGGCTCTAATTTTCAGGAAAGACAGCTGAAAAGCTATACTTTAAAATGGTTATACCTAAAATTTGCATATTTTGAGTTTTTAACCATTTTTATGCAAAATAGTGAGCTAATTCAAATTTTTTCAAGGTTTCCTTACAGTATTTGCTTTTTTGTGCGCGTGCGCAGTTATATAGACAAAAACTAAGCCCAAATTCAAAATCCTCGAAAAATTTCCAATCAGTTATCTATATTAACACTTCATTTTTATTTATTCTAAACAAATTTTAACAGAAAAAACAAATACAAGTTATAATTAAGAGCATTGCAAATATGAGAGTGTTTAAAAAAATTATCTTTTGCGTTTGTTTTTTCAACTTAACATTTTTTTCAGTTTGGGAAATTATTAATTTTTGATGAAAGATATATTGTACAAAGAATTATAAAGCAAAATTTTTCCATTTTATTGTAATATAAAATTTATACTTTTATTTTGAAAATTATAATCTCATATTATCTGGCCTCACAAATTTTTTTGCAGATGTTCATTAAATAATTTAACAACATTCGTGTGATTTAGCCTGTACTTATTCGATGATTGAACTAAGGATCTATTGACACTACATAATATTTTTGAGAATAGAACAGTCAAGACAGGTGGATTATCTGACCATTCAAAAAAAGTGTTTACGCTTTTATGCGATGACTTTCTTTTGTTTACACTTTTCTCTTTAGATTGTACCTTTTGCAGGACAACTATTTCGGCTGTTTGTTCTTCATTGTCAATGCTTTTTATTTGTCCTATGAACCAATCATCAATTTCCGTAAATCCGACGTACATATTTTCGCTATAATCTTCATTTAAGCGTTTCTTAAAATTAGTCGAGATATCATAATTCACAAGAAATTTAGTTTCTAAACTAGTTGTTTTACACCGAATTATTGTAGGACTCAATGGTTCGAAGTAATGGAGAGACCTCGTTCCTGGTACAGTTTTCAAATTTAAATTTTCTTGTACATTTCTAACTAGATTAATTTCATCCGCCATAATTAAGATTGGATGTATGGATGAATTCAAATCTTGACAGAAATTAAATAAGTCCTGTACGGTTTCTATCTGATTGTCAGCAGACCTCCTTATATTCTCATTTGCAGCAAGTCTTTTGATAGTTCCTCCCACACCATCACATGGTGACTTCCCATGTCCAGATGCAAAAAATGACCAAGATGCAGTAACGCCAAATTTTTTGTAATGTTCACACACGAAAGAAAGTATAGTACAATTTTTATACTGACCGGTGCATCCGTCGCTAAAATACTCTACTTTCGTCACGTTGAAAATATTTTCTTTTATATAAGTGATCACCTTAGAGAGAATCGTTTGTACAGCAGAGGTATCATGTTTAAGATCATCCGAAATTATACAAAGAGACTTGTGCAGAAGTTCATCATCTTTTTTGTAATAAAATACTACTGGATGAATCGTGCAATATTTCCTGGTCCAGTAAGCACTTTGAATTTCGTCTTGAAAATTGAACGAAAAGTTCTCACTAAAATCTACTAGGATAAGTGCCTCAGTTTCCTTTAATGAATCTTTCTTATCTGATAAATATTGTGACTGCTGTTTTGCAATAAAATCATGTTGAAAAACATGATTAATCGTATCTAATATTAACTGGAATATTTCGTAACGAGAAGCAATTTTTGTTTCGAGTTCAGAGCGATCTTGAGTAGTCCAATGTTTGAATTCAACTTTTTCCATTTTCCAATCTTCAAAAATTTCTTCCACATCAAAGTCTTCCTCAAATTCTTCTCCTTTTGTCAATAACTCAAACATCTTTTTCTTAACGTAATCTTTTCCTGTACATTCTGTGCAAAGCCGCATTAAACAATGTCGGTTATTTTTATCACACGTTATCGCATTAATAACATCTTTACATTTATAGTTACGATTAAAAATCCACAAAAGCAAATAAAAATTTTAATGAATTTGGCAGACACACACGCAGTGAGTACCAGAAGCACCAGCGAGAACACATTCAGGTGGACGCAAAGAACAAAATTTAGAAAATCCAAGCTTCATGGAATTAAATTTTTCTTTAAAAAGTACATAAAGTTCTCGTAATGTTAATAAAATTAAATGTTTTTGCAAATGTTCATGATTAACACTGACAAAGTCTTTTTTTCCCGGTAAGCATCGAGAATTTGAGTGATAAAAATCTTTTACAATCTGAACTGTAGATTCTGCGATGGAATTAGGTTTTTTAGAATCAGGTACACTTAAAATGCCTTTTTCAAGTTTTAAATTTCTTGCAAACCATACTCGACTTACACTCACTCCCAAAAAATTTGCAGCTTGCTTTAATGACATAGTATCAGGTACTTATGTCAATAGTTTTATTTTTTCATTTCGGCTTGTAGTTGTCGTAAGTTTATTCTTAATATCCGTCATAAAATTATCAAATCCTGAAATTTTGTTTTTAGTGTCAAATAATTTCTCATATTCTTCTTCTGTACCTAAAACTTTACGAATTTTAGGCGCAACTGCATTGATGAGGTCACCAATCCTTTTCTTTCCATAAGATTCCCTTTTTTGGTGATTTTTGCTTAAAATTTGAATCCGTTCCAAGCCAAATTGTGAGTATAAAGAATTTAATACCTCGTGTATGTTTTCTTCCGGAGTACTAAGATTTGTATCCTGAGACAACGCGTGTAACAAGGACGAACCGGAATTTGATACTTGTGATTCGTCAGATTTTGTTATATTTTCACCAATCTACAACGATAATAATATCCATAGATGAATAACAATTATTATTATTTTTATTACGTTTGTAATTAATTTATAACTCATGTAAATGTACTTACCATATCAATATTTGTAATGATTTCTTTTCTACAATTAACACAGAGTTTACAACCGGGAGGAACGCTTCGAATTTGAAGTTGATCTTTAATTTTCATCGCAAAATCAAGGTCCACTGACCGAATACCACTTGTAACTTTAAGACAATGTTTATGAAAAGGATCTATGCAATTAACTGATTTTACTTCATACCAATAGAAAAATTTTTGGTGATGTTTTTCACATATTGTAGACGTAGAAATATTTATTTCATCCCATATGTTGCTTCTCCATCGCAACAGCAGTAAGTTTTCTTCTGATAAATCTTTAAGCAAAGTTATTTTATCATCACAAGTTGTAGTGGTATTTAATAATTTACTAATACTGCATTGTTCCATCTCTTCTGTAATAAAGAAACTCATTTTTTATAACCTAATTTTGAAACAAAAGTTTACACATAACTTATCAGTGATAATTATAACATTTAGCAAAAATTACCTTTTTCGGACATACTGTAAATGATAAATTGATCACTAGATACTACTATTTCACTTATTTACTTTCACCAGACTAAAAAATAAACATTAAAAGATTAGGTTATGTTCCTATTTTCAGTTTATTATTGGGATCTGAAATACTGCGATACGCCATCTGGTGACGACCTCGTTGTGTCAGCCATTTTTCGTTTCATCCTTTTTAAAATATATGTAGAAGAAAGAGATAAAAAATCAAGATGGCTGACCCAACGAGGTCAGTTTCCCCATAATTCCCTATGATTTCAGATCCCAATTGGAAGCCATATTTAAAATTAAAGGAACTTTCACACCTCCAGTCAACAGCTGCCTGCGCAGGAAGCAGGTCGTTCCCGCCCTGATTTGAATTTAATAAAATTAAAGATCCTTTTTTAACAAAAAATTATTAATAACAAAAATGGTAAAATTACTATAATAATAAAAATAAATGATAATCAAGGGCAAATTCAAGAAGTAAACGCAAAAGATAATTTTTTTAAACACTCTCATATTTGCAATGCTCTTAATTATAACTTGTATTTGTTTTTTCTGTTAAAATTTGTTTAGAATAAATAAAAATGAAGTGTTAATATAGATAACTGATTGGAAATTTTTCGAGGATTTTGAATTTGGGCTTAGTTTTTGTCTATATAACTGCGCACGCGCACAAAAAAGCAAATACTGTAAGGAAACCTTGAAAAAATTTGAATTAGCTCACTATTTTGCATAAAAATGGTTAAAAACTCAAAATATGCAAATTTTAGGTATAACCATTTTAAAGTATAGCTTTTCAGCTGTCTTTCCTGAAAATTAGAGCCAAATCGAAATAGGTCATTTTGAGTTATGAATTTTTTTTAAAAAATCAGTTTTTTTAATCTACTGCGCATGCGTTTAGAGATAGGTCAAAAATTCCAACGGCATTGGATTCTTTGGAAAATTTCCCATCGACTAGTATCTTTCCAATTTTTTTTTTGATTAAAATTAACATTTTTTCGAGAAGAAATGGATTTTTCAATCTTCATTTTGAAAGATGTCACTTTTCACGAAATTTACGATTGTGACTGTTCTTTATGAGATAGGGGCTTGAAATTTTGGCTAGTTGAGTATTTTTAGAGGTAGAATACGCCTAAAAAATTTGAGCCAAATCGATAACTTGTCACCGACAACTGTTCGTTTTACCCGTGGAATCCCTCAACAGCAAGTTAATATAATCTGGGGCATAGAATTAGAAATTGATGATCATGAAGTTTATTTTTCGGTTGCTGAACCATTGTATTCTACCGTGGAAAATTTAACTTCAGCGGTAATAGATTGGAAAAATGCAGGAGGAAATCGTTGGATATCGCATCCCTTCATTGGCAAATATTTCGGATGTTTAGGAATATAAAAAAATTTATTTAAGATTTTTTTTAAGAAAACTGATTTAAATGGTTTTCTAGAAGACGATACTGGGAATTCAAATTTAAATGATATTGAAAAAATAAACCAAACTGAAAAGAAGAACGAAACCTATAATCAGTCTGTGATAAGCAACAATGATGAAGACAACCAAGAAGATAACCTCGAAGCTTATGATTGGTTATTATGGAGGTTATTATTAGCAAGGTTTAAAATTTTATGAAAAAAGAAAAAAATTAAGCAGTTTGACCAGTATCCATATTTAAAATTTTTTAAATACTTTATTGTGATTGTTGAACAACAAGCTCCACGTTTATTATTTTATTCGGGGAAAATAACCATCCGCGATAAAATTATTCTGACATTTATAAAATTAAATCAAAATGTCACTATTGCATAAGCCTCTTTCCAAACGTCACATAGCTTGTGTGATATGTAATCGACATTTTAAGCAGCAGTTTAAAGAATGCAATTTACTTCCCGTTTAGAGAAGAAATATCGAAAAATATTACCACTTTTTTTGAAGAATACAATAACGTTTCTCTAATTCTTGACTTCACCGAGATTGAAGTGCAAAAGTCTTAAAAATTGTGTGATCAGTTGCTAATGTATTACTTTTCATATTAGGATTTAAATGGGATCCTTTAAAAACTCCCATTAAATTTAGGCATTTTATATAGTTTTTTTTGGAAATTTTATCGGGTCTTATAAAGCATCAAAACATTGAAATATTACTCTTTTTGTAAGAGCAGCGTACTATCTGCAGGTTAAAAAGTCATACTACAAAATATTTGTTATTTTTAATATTCATAACACTTGCAAATTGCATTACATTATTTGTTTAGATTTCACAGCCAAATGCAAAATTTTTTTTATAAAAAAATAAACAACTGCTATCGACGGCGCCATATGTTTTGATTAACGTCCAAATATCTTATTCCCCAAAGAAGAAGGTCCAATGAGTTCTCATTAACAGATGTGGAGCTGTACAACATAAAAATCACGAGAGTTATAAATAATTATTCAAAAGTTATTAATTACACTTAAAACTAAGTTTTAGTAAGTAACCTAGTAAAAAATTTGTATAGCAGATCCCAGGATTCCGTATATCAACTCCTAAGCTGATGTACGGAACCTTGACTTTTCCTATAAAATTTTCCTATACCATTTTAAGTTCAAATTTTTTACCAATACAATTCTCAACAAATAAAATAACATTGTTGTTTTTAAATTGTCATTTCCCTTACAATTTAGTTTTTTTAAATATTCTATATTAATATTCAATAATTCATTTTATCTTGAAACAGGTATTTAATCATTAAAATTCATGCAAAAGTTGTCAATATACAACCTCTTTACAATTTCACATGACAGTAAAAAAGAAGTTGGTATATGGAATCCTGGCTTCTGCTATTATTTCATTTACTGGAAAATAAGAGTATATAATTATAGATAGTATAATATTTTTAAAATAGTTTTTACTCATAAAAAGGTTTATTTTTGAGATGAAACAATTTGACAAAAAAATTCAGGGTTTAAATTTGTAAATTAAATTAATTACAATTTAATTTATAACAAATTTGTGCATTTAAGGGGAGGCGTCAGGATTAAATTTTTTGAAAAATGTGAACTATGAATTTTTTTAAGAGTAATATACTGTTAAAATTTTTCCGAAATTTTAGTTTCGAAGTAGATGGCGCTGCCTTATAAGTGCAGACTCTACCTTTGTCTTTCTTATGGCGCCCAATCGCCAAATATACTGCTGCCTATAACTTGCCTCCTCTATATTATCTCTATTCATACGTTACTTCATTACAGACCGTTTATCCTTTCTAATATGTACAAATAGATGTAGATTGTTCTTACCACATTGTCGGTGGAACATTCCAATCTTTTTTAATAAATGCAGCAGCTCTTTCTCCAATCATCATTGACGGAGCTGCAGTGTTACCAGAAGTCACCTTTGAAAAAATGTAATAAAAATATTAAATATTTTTTAACTCATAGCTTAAAATTTATACACGAAAAAGAATGAATTAGCCTCTTATTCAAGCCATATTTAAATTATGCATGTGAAAAAATTATACTTTCTGAATTATTACTATACTACCTGAGGCATAATAGAAGCATCAGCAATTCTTAATCCTTTAATTCCATGAACCCTTAACTCGGGATCAACTACAGCCAGTGAATCAGATGAAGGTCCCATTTTACATGATCCAGCTTGATGATTTTCAGGGCCTGTATCTTGGCGAATAGCGCAGTCCCAATATTCGGGTGAGAGAAAAGTAAACATTGAGCATGCTGGAATTGGACGATTTGCCAGTTGCAAATTGTATTTTCTTAAAGCGTTAGTTTGAGAAAGCGATATTACTTTAAGTATTCCTTCTACCATAATTGCTCGATCTTGTGGATCTTGTAAATAATTTGCAGTAATTATTGGGTGTACAAATGGATTATTACTCGCTAATCGAAGTCTACCTGTAACAACATATAAATTTTCGACAAGATGTTACAATTTAATTTCCACCTGAATACTTAATGTTATTAAATTACCTCTACTGCGAGGCTGTAGGTGAGTTGGTGAAGCGCTAATTCTTCGAAAATCATTGCTCATAAGTGCTCCAACTTCACCACTAGCTGCACAGGAAGCTTGATAGCCTCCAAAGAAAAATTGAATATCTGGATGATCATTGGTAGTATATCTCGAAGGAATGATGCCCGTAATTTGTGCCATTCCCGTGGAACCCATTATTCCTTTTTGATTGGATACATACTCAGTAACCGCGGCCCAGTTTAAATAATACTCATCACGTTGATTAATATTCCATGATATAGTGTACGACACATGGTTATGAAGGTTTTCACCAACACCAGGAAGATCCTTTACTAACTCAACGTTTACTGATTTAAACTGCTCCGCAGGCCCTACACCAGAGAGCAATAAGAGCTGTGGTGAGTTAACAGCTCCGGCACTGACAATAATTTCTTTTGTAACGCGTGCTGCTCTATACTCTCCATCCTAAATTACAAAAGGAAAGCATCTTATATATTTACATACAAAAATACGCAATAAGATATAGAAAATTAAAATATTAAATATGAGATACTTTACAAACAGTTTATCAGTTGTAATGCCAATATCTCAAATTTACGTAAAAAGAAGAGTAATTACTATTCTAATTTGTGTCAGTATGAACATACTTGACACAGTATATTGCTCTAAGAATACTGTAAGCTTATTTAAATGGTAAAGGTATGGCAAGCTTAGATTATGATTATGCGTAAGGTACTATAGACTTACTGTGTATTTTGATAAACTATTCAAATAAGCTTAAAGTATTGTGGCAGCTATATATATAGTGATATGTGGAAACCAAAAGATTTTAAAATTTTTTACAATATTTTTCGGAGGTTCTATTTTATAAATTTTACTTGACTTTTTCCAATATAGATACATTTTTTAATATTCTTTTGATTCGTTAATTTTGTTCTTTCAATTTTTTATAAAAGTGTCATAATTTTTTATAATCAAAAAATTGTTATTTTATAATCCATTGCGTAAGAATTTTTAAATAATTTAAAAATAAAATGAACCTTGTAGTACTGAATACCGACAGCTTTATTATCTTCTATGATTAATCTAGCTGCTGTAGCATTTAACATGATGTGCAGATTGCGTCGATTTCTTACAGGTCGAAGAAAAGCAGCAGAACTACTAACTCTCACGCCATTTTTACTATTTGTTTGAGCAATTGTAAATCCACTAATTTCATCACCATTCAAATCTTCAATAACTTTATATCCAATTTCTTCAGCTGCTTTTAAAATATCGTTTGTAATTGGAGGTTGCCAAGAAAACCGTTCTACGTTTAAAGGTCCACCTGATGAATGATATTTAGTTCCAACCCTATGAAGTTCAGTATTGTTTTCCATGCACATGAAATATGGTAGTACCTTAAAAAAGATATTCACTATATTATTATTAAATTTTTTTTAAATATCATTTATTGTTATTATTATTGAAAATTAGTAATGGTTCATATGCAAGTGCAAGATCCTTGACGGGTTCCTGTGTAACATCCCTCATAAAATTTTTTCAAAATCTATTTTAATTTAAATAAAATAATGTATTTAAAATAATCAAATATGATTTATTATAAAAGAAACTTGCTTAAATTCAAACAACTAGAAAAGAAGCTATGAAAAGAAATGTAAGCCGATTCTTGAAGATAACGACGGCTAAGAATGTATTTTAAGAAGGATTCTGAACAAAGAGAAATTAAATTTAGAAAACGTACAATAAATAAATAATCCTATACTTTTACTTATATATTAATGTTACTTATATATTAATTTCTACAAATATAAAAATAAATAATAATAAATAACAAAAGATAAATGTTCGAAGAATAAATAAAAACAAATTTCTAGTTTTAAAAAATAAACTTCTGAATTAAATTAATTATTATGTTTACTAATAATTATAATTTACTAAAATGATTATTATATAAAATATAGACAAGTGATCGCCGTATTTAATTAGAAACAAATTAAAGAACAAAATTTGAATTAACATGAAAGAGACCAGAAAACAAAATTAACACTGTAAATCTAAATACAAAACACTACATCTGAAGAACGGCCTTCCGCATTCCTCGCAAGGACACCGAGCGTTATCTGATACTTGCGATAGCGTCCAACATCGAGAAATACCTAAAGAATAAAGAGTAATAAATGTTGTACGATGGATTCAAAATTAAACTTATATTCAATTAAATAAATTTATATATTTGTTAAAATAAATAATTATTTAACTATTTCTAACCGATTAAATAATAATTTATTCAAAAAATACAATAAAATTATAGCTTAAGATGATGAACACTAAAATTTAATAACTAAATTTGTTTAATTGCTAATGCAAATAAAATGTTAAAATTGAAATATAAGGAATTTCAAAACGATATATATCTGTGAACGGCGTTTTCGTACTTTCCCATACTGCCCGCTTCTGAAACGAAATCCGACCCTTGAGATAACAATTATAAAATGCTGAGTCAAAAGAAGTAAAATCCCAGGTCGAGAAGATCTTCTGTTATAAATTTATTTCTTTCAGAATAAAACTTTACACAAATATAACTAAATAATATTAACAAATAACAATAAAAAATTGTAAAACGAATTATTATTATTGCCATTATTTTTATTTAAATAAATTTATGTTATTATTAAAATTATGTTATTAATAATTAATTATTATTTAGTTTATTAATAATCAATGATACTACCAAACTAAATTTATTAACAAAATTATTTGATTATTTGTTAACAAAAAATAAATTATTTCAAATTCAAAGTACTCGATAAACGATAAAGAAAATTATTAATAAACAAAAATTAAATAAACATATACAAGTCAATGTTTTATATCCAAGTTCAGAATTAAAATTGTAATTTCGAAATAGAAATAAATTGTTTCAACGACTTCAGAGGCTGCATGTAACATTATCCCAGGAGAAGATAAGAAAGTGCTATAACAAACGAGTGCACGTGCACCTAAGTACGAAATAAAATTATGTCTTCGATTCTAAAATTAGAATCACACTTTGAATTTTGCATTAGAAAAATTAATTGTTAATAAATAAATTTATATCTTAAGGGGTCTACCCACTTTAGACGGGCTAAAAAAAGGCTATTTTCATAATTATTTTTTCAGGTTTATATTATAAATATTGACATGTGAGGTATTACACATCATAAATACACTTTCAAAGTGCAAAAAAAAAATATTTTTGATTTTTTTCAATTTGTTTTTTTATTTAAAAATACTTGTTAAAAAATATGTTTAAAAAAGAAGGAGGTGTGCGCTGTTGATGAAATTTTTCGCGTGTATGGTCTGAAACAAAAAATTCAAACGGTATTAGATTCAGCATGTTGATAGCTCTAGCGCATATCATACGATTTTTTTTTTATGCAAAATTGACAAAATGGCGGCCATTTTTCGAAAAAAAATGAAAAAAACGTTGTTTTTTAACCGTTTTGAGCCCCAAAAAAATATTTAAAATCAAAATTTTGAAAATCCCTCGATATGCGCTAGAGCTATGATCCCAAAGAATATGTGGTAAAAATTTGGTGAGGATCGGTTGAGTAGTTTCGGAGATATCATCAACAAGCGGTCGAAAAACGTTGTTTTGAGAAAAACGCGTTTAAAGTTTTTGCTACACTTTTAAAGCCCGATTGTTTTCAAGAAGAGAATTATCGTTTTTTTATTTTTAAATGAATTTCAAAAATATATTACCGTTTGCATATAATAGTTTTTAGGTCGCTGATTTCGAATCCGATGTCAGTTTTTCAAAATTCAAAATGGCGGATCCAATATGGCGGACGACATTTTGAAAATATAATGCTATTTGCTTGAAATTGGGTACTCGGGGGTTTTTAGGGTCGCTGATTACGAATCTGATATCAGTTTTCAAAAATTCAAAATGGCGGATCCAATATGGCGGACGACATTTTGAAAATATAATGCTATTTGCTTGAAAATGGGTACTCGGGGGTTTTTAGGGTCGCTGATTACGAATCTGATATCAGTTTTCAAAAATTCAAAATGGCGGATCCAATATGGCGGACGACATTTTGAAAATATAATGCTATTTGCTTGAAAATGGGTACTCGGGGGTTTTTAGGGTCGCTGATTACGAATCTGATATCAGTTTTCAAAAATTCAAAATGGCGGATCCAATATGGCGGACGACATTTTGAAAATATAATGCTATTTGCTTGAAAATGGGTACTCGGGGGTTTTTAGGGTCGCTGATTACGAATCTGATATCAGTTTTCAAAAATTCAAAATGGCGGATCCAATATGGCGGAATAATTTTTAAAAAAATTTTGGATTTCTATAAAGCTTGGTTTCCGGGGGTTTTTTGGGTCGCTGATTACGAATCTAATATCAGTTTTAAAAAATTTTAAATGGCGGATTCAATATGGTGAATAAATTTAAAAAAAAATTGTTATATCAAAACCACTGGACATTAAAATGTAAATGAAAATTCTTAAAATTCTTACCTGTGCTTAATCAGCGATGCCTGCACCGTACATTATACCTTCAGTTTCTTCATAAATTTCGTTTTCGTTCAAAATAGCATTTCTTCGTTTCGTTCTTGCTTCTTTGGAGGCATCGGTGCTGCGGCGGTTAGCGATTCGTATACGTTCGCTGTCACGTTTGGCGGCGAACTCTACGGCGGTCGGACCAATTTTGACTCCCATTACTTCCAAAATCTTTAGAACTGGTTGAAAACCTTCGTTAAATATACAAGCAGCTGTTTGACAAGCAATGTCTACAATTTTTTTCCCACTAAAAATGTGTTTAGGAGCCATCGACCAAACGCAATTGTTAAAAGATTCGTTGTTATTCTGTGTGTTTCCACCGAGACATCTTTCAAGTAATTCTTCCTTAGTCAAGTCTTCGTAGATCGGTTTTAGAATCTCTTGAACATCTTCAGCGAGAGCAGGAGGATGTTTGAACTTTTTAACTGTATTATCTCTCACGGCTTTTTTATATTTACACCAAGATTCGGAACAGTACGAATGCTGCGGATTTTTATCACTTGAAATTTTGTGATAATACCCCGCCCAGATCTCTTTCCTCATTTCATCCACAGAATAAGGATGTCTTTGAATTGCTAAACCATAGTTTGTTGACAGTTCTTTCATTAGTTTGACCGTTAAATCTTGAGTTTTGACAACAGGAGTTTTTTTTACGATGGCCGTTTTCTTCTTCACTATAACTTTTTTGGCAGCACCTTTTTTCTTTGATAAAGGTTTTATCTCGTCCTTCTTCGCTGCTTTTCTTGCCTGTGTAAGAATCTTTTTAGCTTCACTAGCCCGTTTAAAAATTCTTTTTGGAACGTGTAAGACGCACTCTAACTTTTTGACAATAAAGTTTTCACCATACGGTGCTGTACTAAGCAACAATTTAAAAGTCTTAGAATCGCCGTCTCCGATATAAAAACCATAACGCACAGCAAATTTTTCGAGAGATTGCCAAAACATTTCACATATACCGTCAACCTCCATTTTTCCAGCACTACCTGAGTGATTAGCACTACAGTCTTTTTTATGCTCTTCATACCAAAGTTCATATTCAACCGTCTGTTCTGTTCCTTTTCTCTTCTCACACGCTTTGCAGTAGCTTGATTTGATAACGACGTTCGCAATTTTTTTACAGCGCTTATAGATTAAAGAGACTATTCCAATAAGAGAAGAAAATCCTCTTTTTTGCCAGGAACCATCACCTGAAACGGTTAAAACATCTTCGGGTTCTCCGTGTTGAGCATTCAAAAGTTTTTCTTCTCCAACAGCCTTGAGCGTGACTATATCAAACACTTTTTTTACAGCGATAGAAATCATATTAATAATTTTATAATAATGAGAAGAATTTATTCCTTTTCCAAGTTCCATGAGACCGCAAAACATGTTGATACCACTCAGTCCAACGCCAATCAAACGCATAACATACACTATACGACGATTGATCTCATATCCAGTCGAAATTAGCGGACACGAATTAATATACTTTTCTCCGCAATCACATGTAACACAAAGTTTAAAACCGAGTCCTCGCTGTCCAGATTTTGAGAATGAAACATCTTTATCACACACTTTACATTTCACATATTGCTGCAACGTTGAGAAAACCAGGAGAAACTGAATAATACTGTACCCTGAAGTTTCATCAATGGGTACATCGAAATTTGTCTCTTTTGATTTTTTCAGCTTTTTTGCAGATGCACTACTACGACTTTCATTTGACTTAGAGACTTGAGGAAGCACTCCCTGAAATTTTCGCTTTTTCGGTTGTGTACATGGACGTCTCCATGAAGCTTTTTGTTGCACGCACTTTTTTTCCATCATGGAAAAATCACTACCGTCAAGTGGGGTAACAAGGAGAC